TTCTCATAATTAGAATTAGTAAATGTATATAAAACTCTATATTCTATAATCATAATTTGATCACCTGATTGCATGATATCATTCCTATGAAATTTAAAATGTAGTCCTAAAACTTCATTAAAATTTGTATCTTTTAATGATACACAATATTTTGGATAACATGTAAACATAATTTTTTGATATGCTAAATTTCCTTCTATTGTTCCTAAATGACTATTTTTTAAGTTTATTATTCTTCCATTATGTAAAGTTATAGTTAAGGGTGAATCTATCCATTCTCTAAATAGTAATTTAAACATTATTTGTATTCCTGCTAAATAAACATATTGAATTTTTTCACTTTGTTTTTTTACTAATCTTTGTTAATAGTTCATCAACTGTATTTTTTGTTAAAAGATTTAATTTATGTTGTCCATAAGTTGTTCTTACATCTATGATTTTTTTTCTATTTTGTGATATTCATTTATTGCTATTCATTCTCTTTTCCAAATTCTGTCAAAGACTTCCAATTTTCCTATTTTTAAGTCCAACGATAATTTTTACAATTTTCTAAACTTGTTATTATCAAAAATGACTTTTAATCCATATCCTTCTATTCTTTCATATTCTTGTATATTTATGTTATTACTTTTTATTTCTTCAATTTCTCTATTCAAATCCTGATCCATCTTCTGTTTCACTTATATATACTTCTTAATTATAATATTCTTCAATATCCGATATTTCACTTAATTTCACTTTTATTTCTAAATATTCTTTTTGTAATATTTTAACTTTATTTTTATCACAATCAGAGCTTATATGACATATTTCTCCACAATTCCAACATTTACATTGACTTTTACTTTTCTTTTTATCCTTCTGTTGGTTATATAGGTTATTTTTTCTTTTGTAATACTTTCTTTTAAGTTTTATATATTTTTTTATTAAAATTTCTAAATTTTTAAAATTTTTTTATTAATTCTTATTTTAGGATTACATCCTCATTGTACAAGAATTTTCATATCTTCACAACACATTTTAGTTAATTTTCCTGATTTTTTTATTAATTGTCTTTGTTGACATATATATGCAAGTCTTTCAAATACAAATTTTATTCTTCACCTAAAGTTCTAGGTATTCCAATATTATCTCTAACATATTTTTCAAATTCTATTTTAAAATATATTTCCCATGAATCTGGTAACTTATTATAATACATGTCTTGGTATACTTCTTGATTTTCATTACTATAAAATTGAACATAATAGTAATTTTTAAATTTACAAGTATATTATTTAATTTTACACATATCACATATTGTTAAGTTTATTAATTTTATTCTAGCATTATCTTTTTCACTTATTGATTCTTTTTCAGCATTTCTTATCCAATTTTCTCCTAGAAATTCATCTGAAATATATTTCACTAATTTTTCTATACCTTGTCTATCTAATTTGATTATTTCTATTTGTACATTTCTTTTTAATAATATTTTTGTATCATTGCTTATTCTTTTCCACCAATTTCTAACATCTCCTTCAAAGGATGCTATTAAAAAATCTATTATTCTTTCAGTATTTTCTCATGTGTCATCTTTGTTATATAAAAAGAATAATATCATTGAATCTGCCCAAGTTAATAAGGCTTTTTAGTATCTATTTTGCAATTTAAATCTAGTTTTGTTCCTCCATGATTAATTGATTTATCATTATTATCATTTAATTCAAACCTATCTTTATATTTATTTCCTTTAGGTGATTGTCTATCTCTTACTTTATCATAGAATTGTCTATATGATTTATTATATATGGGTGCATAGTTTTCATCTATATCATGTAATTCTTATTTAGAGGTATTTGCTGGATTAGGTTCTCCTCCAATATTCATTAAAACTTGATATTCACTTATATCAGTTAGGCTTAATTGATCAAAATTTTCTATTAGCAAATCTAATTCTTCACTCATCTTCTTTTTCTTCTACTTTTAATTTTCCTAATGATTTTCCCTAGATTCTTCTTCTTTTAGTTTTTTTGGTAATATATTCTTTCTAAATTTATCATCCATACTTCCTGTTTCTATTACTATATTTTCTTTTTCTATATGTTTCTTTCCTATTCGAGTCATCTCTTTTTCTATAAGTTTTTTTGTTTTTTTTTTATCTATTTTCTTATTATTTTCTTTTAATTTTCTAATTTTAATTTTTAATATATTTATATCATTTCTTGTTTCTTTTACTTCATTTTTCTAATCTTGTACATCATTTATTAACATTTTTATTAATGATTTTAATTCTTCCATATATTCATTTATTGAGATCTTAATTTTTTCTTATTTCTAACTCATAAGTTAATTTACATCTTTTATCTTCTTTTTTATCTATTATTTTTCTAAATCTTCTCTCAGTTGTTTTTGGATCTACTAATTCTTCTTTTACTATAGTGAAATATTTGCTCTCACGTCTTAGTCTTTCGTATTTTAATTTTAATAATTGTTTATTCTTTGATATCCTCATTTCTTCTGGTATTAACATTATATTTCGTATTTCTTCTTGTACTTTATCCATTTTTATAAGTAGTTTATTTAATTTTAAATGTGTATTATTACTTGTACTCATACTTTTCTTTATAATATAAATTATTTTCTTCATCTTCATATATATTAATAATTTTTTCATATGTATAAATATCTTTTATTTTTTCTATTATTATTTTTTCTAATATCTGTTCTTTTATTTCTTTAGGAAGTTCTTTAATTAATGTCAAAGTCATTATTTTTAATCTATTATGAATAAGTTTTAAAAATATATAACTACATTTTTCTTCTTCTAAACACCAATAATTATCTATTTTTCTTATTTTAATTTTCATGATCTCTATGACTCTGATACCAATTTGAGGGGCTTCTTAGAGCGAGCGAAATTTTTTTTAAATAAATCAAATAAATCAAAAAATTAAAAATTATCAAATTTCAACCAATGTTTAAATTTTTAAGGACTAAAATAGAAGATTTTTATATTATAATGCCTTATTATGTAATATCCAAATGGAGGGCATTTTTGGTATGTAAATTGTCTAAGGGTCATTTTGGAAAAGTAACCCTTTTAAAAAGGTTATTTCCACATATTTCCCCCAAATAACAGTCTTTCAATTCACTAATCGAATATTAATTCAAGTTAAATCGGTAGTCATGTCTCAAGGTATTCATTTATGTTCTAAATGGGCTGGGCCAACATCCAAATTACAGAATGGATAGGCCCAGGTGATGCTAGCTAGGCCTTAATTAGACTTATTTATTTACATAGGAGAGACAAAGGGATAGAGATATTTTTAATATTTTATCCCGATAAAAGACCCGTTTCAACGAGAAGAGGATGGGACTAAGAAATCTGTCTTAAATCAGGGACTTGGAGCCGTCCCCACCTCATCCCTACGTATCGAACTAAAAACCCCCTGACAGGGACGAGAAATGGGGTTTTCAGCCTGGATTCACTTGTTGCCATTCATATGTCTATCATGTATCTATAAAAATAGTGCTATAAGTACGAGTTGGGGACATCTCTAATTTGTACATATATAGCATTACTCTATCTATAGTTATTGATTACTGTTATTTAGCACCAACGATCTCAAAATAATAGTCTAAATGGAGTGTTTGTGAGTGATTTTTCACTAAAAATTTGATTTTTTGACCGTTATTTCACTATTCCAGTCATAATTTTTGACTTTTTCTTTCATAAATAGCCCACACTTTTTTTTTAATAGTCAAAAAATCAATTCTCAAAATCCTTACCGAACAGGGTCTAAATAACATTAAGGACGTGTTTAATTAAATGAATATAGTACATCCTACATTTAATTGGTTGTAATAATTTGTTTAGCCAATATTTGTAATTATTGGCAGCTTGTGATAAATTTTTCTAGCACATATAAATGAGTTAAAAAATATTGTTAGTCACCACTTATATTGTAATTATCACCACTTTTCTTTTTGAGTCATAATAAAACCAAGATGGTCCATTCCGTAAAATAAATGTACAGTAGTCGATAATATATAAAAAAAAAAATTTTAAAAAAAATTGCTACCCAATATGCGCACCGTGGCAATTATAGTACGTGACCACTGGTAGAGAGTGCATAACTATCAGTGGGCCTATTAATCACGGAGAATTCACCAAACTGTTGCATGTGAATTATGATAAATTAATCAAAACACAAGTCTTCGATTCCTTCTTAGTTTTGACTAATCTTTGCCATTTCAGTAGTTGGCATCACCAATTTTCATTTCCCATTGACTTTTATGGCACTTTTTTATTTGAGAAAAATAAAGAAAAAGAAAAATCATACACGTACATGACCCGACTCAATGATGAGGGTAAGTCGATCTCAATAAAATATAATGATGCGAAAAACATTTAAACACAAGACGTACAGACATCCATGTTAATAAACATGAGGGATTAGACATCCAAGCAAACACTAGTCGGTGTGCAACTACCCACTTCAATGAAAAATATTTAAACAAACGACGACCCAAGCATTCAAGTTAACAAAGACAATACGGTGCAGTTATCCATGTCATCGAAAAATATTTAAACACACGACGATCCAAACATAAGTTAATAAACACAAGATGATGCAATCATTCACGTAATGAAGAAACATTTAAACACGAGGTAGTATAGAAAATATCTAAGTTAACAAGTACAAGACGTTGCAACCATCCATACCAATATAAAATATTTAAACACAAAACGACGAAGACGTTCATTTTAACCAACACAAGATGTGTGCAATCATCCACGATCACCGAAAAAAAAAATGAAAGACATTTAATTACAAGACGGTGCATACATCCTCGTCAACCATACATCAAATATTCCACTAAAACAATAACCAAACTTCAATGGTGACTTAAAAAGTAAAATTGAGTTGAAGAGCTGAAGATTGTTTTACCCCATCACTTCACTAAACATAGAGCGTCGACTGTCCCAATTCCAACTCAGTTCGGTACTCGCTTAGTACACTCCACTTTCCCCTCTCTCTATAGTCTATATATAGCGTTGTACAGCTACACTTCTATGTGATCTCCTTCTCTCTCCTCTTTAACTTTCTCTCTCTTAAACTTCCTATTACCAGTACTGTATGACAACACAAAAAATAGATTCCTTTAGTCAGTAAATTAGATAACGGTTTTTCTCTTTTCCTAAGTTGTCCTCTTCTCTTCCAACAAGCAATTCAAGAAAATTAGCTTTGTTTTCTTGAATTATCAGCAAATATGATAAGTTGGCACGATCTTTATGTGGTATTAACGGCTGTGGTTCCCCTCTATGTGGCCATGATCTTGGCCTACGGCTCCGTCCGGTGGTGGAGAATTTTCACCCCCGATCAATGTTCTGGTATCAATCGATTTGTTGCAATTTTTGCAGTCCCACTTTTGTCTTTTCACTTTATTTCTACCAATAATCCCTATGCCATGAATTTTCGATTCATAGCTGCTGATACACTTCAAAAGATTATTATGCTTGTAGTTCTTTGTTTGTGGGCTAATTTGACCAATAAAGGCAACCTTGAATGGTCTATTACTCTTTTCTCACTTTCTACACTGCCAAATACACTTGTAATGGGCATTCCTTTGTTGATTGCTATGTATGGGGAATATTCCGGCAGTCTTATGGTGCAAGTGGTGGTGCTGCAATGCATCGTTTGGTACACTCTTTTGCTGTTTTTGTTCGAATATCGTGGGGCGAAAATGCTTATTATGGAGCAATTCCCCGAAACTGCAGCCTCAATCGTGTCGTTTAAGGTTGGATCCGATGTTGTTTCATTAGATGGACAAGATTTTCTTGAGACAGATGCTGAGATTGGAAATGATGGTAAACTCCATGTTACTGTGAGGAAATCGAATGCCTCTAGAAGATCACTTGGACCCGGTTCATTCTCAGGGATAACTCCCCGGCCGTCGAATCTAACCGGAGCTGAAATTTACAGTATGAGTTCATCAAGAAATCCAACTCCAAGAGGGTCTAATTTTAACCATTCAGATTTGTACTCAATGATGGGATTTCCAGGGAGATTATCCAACTTTGGCCAATCAGATACAGGTAGATTATCGAATTTCAACACAGCAGATATGTATTCTGTGCAATCCTCTAGAGGCCCAACTCCAAGGCCATCAAATTTTGAAGAAAACTGTGCCCCTGGTGGCCTAATGAGTTCTCCAAGATTCGGGTTCTATCCTTCACAACCCGTTAACACTTCTTACCCGGCCCCGAACCAGGAAATTTCTTCAGCTGTCCCGAAAACCTGTAAAAATCAGGTGCAGCAAGTGCAGTCGCAACATCACCTCCAGCCGGGGAATAAGGTCAATCATGATGCAAAGGAGCTTCACATGTTTGTGTGGAGTTCAAGTGCATCACCAGTTTCTGAAGGCGGTGGGCTCCACGTGTTCGGTGGGCAAGTTCCTGACCATGGTGCCAAGGAAATCAGGATGTTGGTTTCTGATCATCACCCTCAAAATGGGGAAACCAAAGGTAAAATTTATTTTAATCATCTTGTCTAAAAAGCTTAAACTATTATCAAATCTTGTCGTCACACCACACTGACACAGTTCAATGAATAATTGGATTAGTTTTTTTTATTAATTTGGAATTGTATAATGAAGCCATTCCGCAAAATGGGGACATAGACGACTTTAGCTTTGGTGGAAGAGACAATGGAGTTGAAGAAAAAGAGAAAGAGGTTCCCATTGAACTGTCAAAACTGGGGTCCAGCTCCATCGCCGAGCTCCACCCAAAGGCTGCCGGAGTTCAAGATCCCGGCGTCATTAAACAGATGCCTCCGGCGAGCGTGATGACACGACTAATCTTGATCATGGTTTGGCGCAAGCTTATCCGAAATCCCAACACTTATTCTAGTCTCATTGGCCTCATTTGGTCACTTGTCTCATTCAGGTAAAAAGATAATTAGCTGTTTTGGTATACAAATGTTTAAGAATAAGTAATTATGATAAAATAATGAGTTCTGATTGATTAATTTTCAGGTGGGATGTGCATATGCCTAAAATTATTGAGAAATCAATCTCCATTCTTTCTGATGCTGGCCTTGGAATGGCCATGTTTAGCTTAGGTGAGTAGTCACATTCCAAGACTGTTTTTTTTCCTAACCCATATATAATGTTCACTAACAGAAGCATATTCCTTCATAAGCATTCAATCTTTGATTGTTCAAGGCATATTGAGATTCTAGCTATATATGGTTGGTGCCCATAAAACCATCTCTGGACAGCATGTTTAACAAAGAAGATCAGACATGACTCGACAGTATTAGTATTCAGTCAAATCCAGTATTCATGTGAACATAAGTTAAATTTTAGGCCATCCATTATTGGCATAAATGCAATGTTAACAACTATATTTGAAATTGTGACCTCCAATAATTCATTGACAAACTGACCGACAGTACTAATGAGAAATTTCTCTTTGCGGTCCCAAATGAGAAGATGATGGGCAAGTAATTAATGGTAGTTGAGATTTAATTGATTATATTTCTACGTTGTTTGATTGGAATGTTATGGACTTTCAGGTCTGTTTATGGCCCTTCAACCAAAGATAATAGCATGCGGGAACACTGTGGCTTCTTTTGCCATGGCCGTAAGGTTCCTCACTGGTCCAGCAGTAATGGCCGCGGCTTCCATTGCTGTTGGTCTTCGTGGTAACCTTCTGCATGTTGCCATCGTGCAGGTAAGTCGTCACTTTCTTATTAATTGCACTATTTTTTAGTACGTTGTACTAGATTAATTCTATCTAATATTGACTCGTCGAGTATACCAGACATACCATGTATCTGGTGTAAAGAACATTGTAGATTCAGATTCATTTCATATGCTGGCATACAGAAAAAAGTATATCTATGAGGAACATTTTGCTGTAAAGTGTTCTAACGTTTTCTTATCCAATAGGCTGCACTTCCACAAGGGATTGTTCCATTTGTGTTTGCAAAAGAGTACAATGTCCATCCAGCAATTCTAAGCACTGCGTAAGTACTTTAATCAACGGGATATCATAATTAAACCCTTTCAACTGTGTTTCTCCCGTTTTTCATTATTATTTTTTTTCTGATTTTACGAATTTCAGGGTCATATTCGGGATGTTGATCGCGCTCCCGATTACGCTCGTCTATTACATTGTTCTTGGATTATAAGATTATCACAGCAAAATTCAGACTGTGTGAAAATGGTGTCAAAATTTCACTAAATACTTGCTGCATCAACATTATACTACAGTCTAACAGTTGAATTTTGAGAGACAAAGATGCGTCGCCAGGTAGAAAAATATATGATTCCTCCTAGCAATTTGGAGCTGCAAATATTTGACTTAATTAGTCAAAATTTGCACTGATACAAGGAGTCATGCACCCCAAGGAATGAAGGAAATTGCAATGTAAAAGAGATTTTCCTTTCTATTTTCCTCCTCAGTGATGATTAGTTTGTGCCTTGTGGTTATATATAGTATTTGTTTTGTTTGTCATTTACTTGACAAGGTAATTAATTACCTTAGAATGAGTATGATTGAAGGGTTTTGTTGTTATTCATATTTCATTTACTTTTGTGAAGTGAAAATGATGTATTTAACTTTTTCAAGAGAGATAATTTTAATACACGATCTTTCCTCGAAAGGAAAAAATAGCCTAAAAAAGGGGATTGAGGGATTTTGGCAGCATGCTTCACTTGACTAAATAAGATTGAATACAATAATTGATAAATTCTCTCTCTCTCTCTCTCTCTCTCTCTCTCTCTCTCTCTCTCGTGTGATATAAGTAATAGAGCACTTCGCCTCCCGGACATAATTCAGTGGTGCAAAAGACAAGAATGATATTATCTCATGTCTTGCTGACAACCGTAGTGTGGGGGTTCGATTCCTGAGACATGAAATTGGTTTCATTGTAGGCGTAGTGTACATACAGCTCTTGTTCATTGACTTGTTGGGGCACATCCCGCGATTTACCTCCCTCACAAAGCTCTAGGGGCGGGCGGTGAGAGCCCTTAAAGTTGGAGTTCAACCTTTTTCTATTTTTAGTTAATAGAGCACTTCACATTTTTGCTTTGGCCTCGATAGATCTTGAACAATCATACTATTTGTACAATGTATTTTACAACCTGGTTTGCAATGCATGAATTGGGAAACATTACACCCATATATTTGAAAAATTGTTTTTAAAATCAATGACTAAGATTTTTCAACACACTTGTTGTCAATCAAGTTGTACAAATATATTGTACAAGTGGCTTTATTCGATCTTGAATGCACGAGAAATGCTACGTGCACAGGTAGAAATGCTAAGATTTTGTATGGGGAGACACTTTACAATTTTATTGAGTGTTGGCAAAAGAAAATAATAATAATAACCATGACGCAACATCTTTAAAACTATTTGTTTAGAATCCCTATACAAACAACTTAACTGTGAATGCACCAACACACATCCGAGTGTTAATAGGCATGGCTTATGAGTTTGTTCACCGGTTTGAGTTTTGACATAAATAAAAATAAAAATGAGATTAGAAGTTGGTGGGTTATGAAATGTATAATTAAAAAAGATAAAAACTGTGAGCCAATGAAATATCTTATTAAAAATGAAGTTTGATCAACTTGTAATCTCAAAAAAACTTTGTCAACTAGGAGCTTATTACATTATATTAGACTGGATTAGAATTAATTTAGTCTAATTTGACGTTCGTAATATCCAAATCAGGTAGCTTATCTTCCCTTATTTACATCGAATTTAAATAATTCGCACAATAAGTCATTATATGAGTTTAGATTGGATATTTAGCCCATGTTTGACGACCCTTAAAACAAAACTTTTTTTTTTTTCAAATTCATTTTCAATCACATATCATCACAATAAAATATTTTGCACCTAAATTCAAAAATTTTCTTACTTTTTAATTACACATTCTCCATAAAATCATTATTTCAAAACTCGTTTTTTCTAAAAAAATATATATATAATAAAAAAAAAACTCCATTTTAATGATTGTATAACAGGGGCTTAATTCCTTGTAATGAGTTTGATTCATCTACAAAAAGGTAATTTACTTATAAATAAATAAGTAGCGTTAAAAAAATAATTGTCTATTAATTATATGTAAGTTATGTTGATATTAAACAATTCTTTTTAGAATTTTTTTTTAAAGTCATCTTAATAAATTTGTAGCTAAAAAGTTATTTAAAAATAACTTTGATTTGTTTATCCTCGGCCACTGTTAAATCACTGTATTTAACAAAGTACTACCATCCATCACCCTATCTTCTTCGATTTGAAAAATTAAAAATCCGTTTCGCAACAAGTCACTGAATTTAACAAAAATGTAATCCAAATGCTTCTTACTGTACTGACAACACGCAATTTGCCAAGTTATCAAAATCGTTAATTCTCAAATGGAACGAGATGAAGTGACGAAAAAGATAATAAAATAATTGGTCGTAAAAATTTCAGAGTTCAATGATCAATAAAAGACAAATGAAGCTATTCGAACAGGGCCACGTAGGCCTTGTTTGAATAGGAGGCCGATGTGGTGCCTGACCTGTAGGAGGGCGCCATGTCGACGTCCTGAACGGACACGGCTAGCGAAGCCCATAAGAAACAATACTGAAAGGGATTGTCAAAAGAATGCATCAGGGTCAAAAGGCCATTGTTTTTGCTTTTTGAGTTTTCAGCCATTGATGCGCCCACAATCCCGCCCTACTTAGTAGTTTGACACTCTTTAAACTTTAAAATTGTTTGTTATAGTATCATTCTCAACTACATATTCATATAATAAAATATTTTACACACAAATTAATAAAATTTATTTATTTTTTAACCACATTTTCAAAAATTTACTATTCAAAACTCTTTAACTTTTCAAATATGGACAACAATAGGGCTGCTCATTATTCAACAATTTAAACCTTTTCCTTTTATCTTCATTAGATTCTCTCTCAACTCGAAATGACTCCTCCAACTTTTATGTCTCCTTGCAAGGCTTCATTTGACCACAACCCATTAGAAATGTTGCGATTATCTTCTTATTATAATTACATGATCAATTAATAGTGAGAGAAATTGTTCGAATGTTTGTTAAGTCGTTACATGATCTTATTAAAAATCTGTCTCACTTTAAATTTCTAGGCACTAGTTTAAATTGGAAAATAATAACCAACTTAAAAAATTGATATATTAGAATAACGCGGAGAGTTTATATCCATTCAAAACGTTGTCATTGAATGTATAACTATATTGCACACATTTGTCCCCGAGCGCCTCTAACAATTGTTCTTGACAATGGTAAAAGGAAGAATATGAAATTTCTATACAAAGGGAGGATGGAATCTGTTACGTCTCGTCACACATGGCTCCACGTGTTCGACCCACTGTAGCTCTTAGCCTACCTAAGCCAAATCACGTGGCATGGTGGCTAAGGCCCTCAAAGGATCAACGTTTTAAAGCTCGAAGTGCATCAACAGAGGTGGTTCACTCTGAGGCCCATGTGCCAAAATTGTGATTTGCAAAGCGCCTTCACCATCACTTTTTCCAAGAGATTCGCTTCTTTACAAGTATATTCTTCAAATGATTGATAAGACGTTTATCATAGAGTTTAAGTGTCAAGTTTTGTTAAACAAAGGGACAGTTTTGTTGCTTAGTAAATGTAAAATGGACTAGCAAGTCAAAGGTAATGCATAGGATTAGATGTATGGATCAAGGAGATGAGACCACGTGTATTCATATCCAAGGGCCATAATATACCTTGTGCTACTATAAATACTCTCCCAGGTTATCATTGTAAAGCTAATGCAACTTTGAATACAAGACTCAATACTAGAACATATATAAACAATACATTACATTTAGCTCTCTTGCTACACAATCTAGTTTACATACATATCAATCACGATTGGTAATTGTTGTACAGTCATTCTACAAATGCTTTTCCGAATTCCAAACGTCATCGTCTTACGCCTTTGAGCCGCTTCCATGTCTTTTATCGAAAAATTTTAGACCGCTCGCGTGTCTTAGTGTATTGGACCAGACTCACGTTGGGCGGGTGAAACCGATACCTGTTGTCCGCATGGTCCCCAACCGAAAATGAGGTCAACAGAATCATTTGTAATCAAGTTGAGACAAATGAAGTTTTTTTTGTTGATTAAATAAGTCAAAATTATTCGTGCATTCTAATTATTCTAATTAAAAAATTCAAAGAATCCTATTAGATCACCTAATGACTATCTAAACTTATATTTTTAATTCAAAACAATATCTCATCTCACGATTTTGTGAGTAATTGAACAATTTTTTAGTACATCGAATTGATCAAACCCTTCGTGGACTCTCTACGATAAATATATGCACGTGAACGTTTACTAAAAAATTCTATCTAATAATAAATCTTAAGCATAAGCAAACATATTCTTGAAGAGAACCTACCATTAATTGCCACTTGGTACAACATTCTTATAAACAAAATCTTGAATTTGGTGAGCAATTCGGAAGTTCCCAAAACTCCAAAATCGCAGAAGGCCTTTATCTATGATGTAATGTCGTATTTGAGGGGAACACACGCACTCATTTGTGTACTTTCGAGTTATCGTTTAAATCGAGCCGGGTTCAAACTTCGTCAACCGAGATGAAATTGGAGTTTACCATTTGACTCAACTTTTTACAATAAAAATCCCATAAATGTAGGGGTATTTTGGAGAATTAACCGTAAATGTCATTTTATAGCAGCAAACCAACATACCGCAGGACAAATTGTTGTATATTACAAATCATCGGAGAAGTGCATGGCTCACGTGGGGGTGTTTGGAAGGTCTAACCTCGTGTGCTACGAGTCAATTGTTGTGCACGCATTTCATAGACCGCAATCTCATAGCATTGATCGCCTCAATTCAATTCAATAAAAATCGAAACAGATCATCAAATAATGGAACAAAAATAAAATAAAAAGGAACAAAAATACAAACTACTATGTCAAATAATGGACAATTATATTTTTCTTGAATTTAATTTTTTTATATAATAGAATACTTTTGTACTTTCAACACTAAAACATTGTAATCACTTTAGTATTTTGCAACGTGACTTGAGAGGTCCGTCCTGTTGCATTTTTACTCTGTTCCCTTGTCATTTCTACTCCTTGCCAAATATGGTCCCACCAAGTTATTACCAACCACTCTTAACCCCAAGCCGCCTCTGCCCCTATAGCACCACAACCCGCCAATCTCCACAAATATTATCTTAAAAACGATTTCACAAGTAGGTAGACTACTTGATAAAAAGAGAATTGAACCTCGTAGTTCATATGCTATCTAACATCCTACCTTTACTATTGAGGATTAAATACGAGTACTAGCTTGAGCTATTGAGGAGATTCAATAAAATTATTGACAACTCTTGCTTAAGTAGGTTCATTGGCTCATTAATCTTGGGACACTCGCACCGTTATACAGTCTTAAATTAAACGAACAATTACATAAGCTCAATGATAATTATTAGAACAAAATCATAAGATCAATAGGTTGAGGTCACATCCTTGTCAATTGACCAGAACTAGAAACGAAAATGAAAGGGAC